ATTATTATTTTTGTACCTGTTTCTCTGGGTCCCTGAAATAAGTTTGGCCTTCGAGAGTCACGTGAGACAATTCTGGCTGTTGCAAAAAGAAATTCTTTGCGTCTACAGCTTGCGAACCCTCGTGGAATAGAAACACAGATCTTCTTTGATCAATTGGATACCTGTGGAAGATTCGATCACGTTATATACCGTAATTGTTCGTCGAAGATTGAAAACTGAAAAACGTAACGTTACCTTTCAGCAATGATATGATTATTCTGAAGACTAGTCTGCCAAATTTTCATTATCGTCTCAGCTTCCTCGACTGACAAATTTTCATTCGTGTCGACAAACATCATCACGCTTTTGCCTTTCTTTGTTATTTTTAGTACATTGTCGGGATTTGACGTATCAAGCTAAATGGAAAAATTATGTAAAACTTACTCGACTTCAAACATATTTATGGGTTCAAATAAACAAACAATTATTAATAAACACGACTTCAGATGTTATTAATAACTAAACAATGTACTAATTTTACACGGAATATTTCAGAATTTAACAAATCAACCTTATGGATATATCGAACAAAAAATATAAATGAATGTACTTTTTTCCTGTATTTTGTATTTTTATTGTAATTTTTTTAATAAAGTTTTAAATTGCTTATATTTGTATAATATTTTTTATCTGATTGTATTCGTAGAATGCACAAGGAGTATTTAGTCATGTTGAGCTATAAGATTCAAGGATCCTCTGTCTCTCTCTTTATATATGTACAAAGTTAATTTATAAAACATTTGAAAAAACACTTTGAACGCATTACCTGTGACAAGTCAATTTTTGGACTAGGCCTGAGATGTTCTGGTAATTCATCTGGTTCCAATGGCTCGTCATTTTCCTTAAGTCGTGAAAGGAATTGTAATCTCCTCTGTTAATCCTTTTTAATATGGAACTAAGTAAAGTCGACAAAGTAAAAAAAATTCCACGTACCTCCCACTGATCTAACAAATGTTCCAAATCCGCGTCATTCATATCCCTTATATCTTTGTCTCGCCATGACTTTTTTTTATTTGATTTTCCATCATTGGTCGCGTTCACGTAAGTTAAGAAAAATAAAAGGGAAATGATAATCTCCTTTCTCATATTCGGCGATTACAAAAATCCAATATACGTCGATTCAAAATTTAGTCTTTCGGTTTAGTACATTTTAAAT